TTGTTGATTTTCTATTCTTATTTAGAAATTCAGTATTGTACTTATTGTTGTATGTAGCTCTGTTTCTGTCTTTCTTTTGTTATTGTTCTTTAAAATAATAGAAGGGCCAGCCAGATAGCTCAGCGGACTAAAACACCTGCTTAGGCAGGCACACGGATTGAGGTTCAACCTCTTGCATGCTGTACTGGACCCACACCCTGGGCGCACTGAGATAGTGTGGTGGTGTGTGCCTATAACCCCAGCATTTTGGAGACTGAAAACAGGAGGATCACTACAAGTTCGATCTGTGTAGACTAGGCCCTATACTAAAATACATTAGAAAAATAATAATAAAAAAATAAAATGAAATAATAAAAAAAAAACAAAGAATGTGAGAAATGTAGCTCTGGAACCTGAAAAAAAAATGTTATTTTAATGCACAGGTAAATCATTGAATTATTCCTGATTTTATTTGCTTATTTAAGGGTCTCATCTACTCTAAAGTATAGATGCATTGCAAGCTTGGTGTATGCTCTTATTCTGAAGATAAATTAGATCACTTTGGGATTTCCTTGGCTGAGTCTCACATATTTTACCACTAACTTGTTAAATACTCAGAGGTGTTGGTGCAGTAACCTTGGACTGCAGGATAAGGTGATGCTAGGATCCCTCAGGGTCCCACCCAGAAACCCCAGGCTGCCCATGGTCCTCAAATGAGTGTGCCCCGGAGAGCTCTTTTTCTTCCTGACGCCCCAGTGTGCAAGCACTTTGTAGTCTGAGATGTCTCCTGCTCTCAGGGACAACCACGCAGGCATACACACTGGGCTCAGCTGGAGGCTGTATAACCTGGGAGGAACGGGCTGCAGTTGGCTCCTGTCTGAGCTTGAAGCTGATCAGCTGGGCATAGGTCACTCCCTGGGGATCTTCAGAGTCAGCTTCCTAAGGAGTGAGAGTAGGGACAAGAATGAGGGTGCAACCTTGGAAAGCCAGGGGCCATGCAGGGAACAGCACTCACCTGCCTGTCCCTCTGATTGTGCTCTTGTGCATCTTTGTCTTTCAAGTCCAGGAATAGCCTTGCTTTGGGGGAAACAGGTGAAAGCCCACCACATCTCCATCCATAGGGCTTCACCAGATTGTGGGTCATTATGTGCCAATCCTCATACTCAGTGCTCTGCAGGAGAGGAGTGACAAAGGTTGCTCCTTGATTCTGTTCTGTACCATCTCTCAGTCCCACAGGGACTGCATAGTGAGCACTGGGACAGTCATCACCTCGGACCCTGCCTGGGAAAACTTCCAGTGGCTTCATGAGCCCCATCAGAGCCCAGGGCCCTGAAAGTCTGAGCCCTAGAGTGCTGTGCACTTTGGCACTGACACTTCTGTCCATTATCTGACATATCCAGTGACAGGGGACCTCAGGCTACACTTGGACAACATGCATGTTCTCACCTGGTCTAGTACTTCTTGCTCCCTAGTAGGAAAGCTCAGCCCTGGGACAGTCCCACACTTGTCCACGGTTCAGGTCTCTGCAGAGGGAATCCTCCTTGCCTGTGTCACTCACAGTGCTGTGCACTTATGGGGTCTCTGTGTCATGCCTCTGCTCTGTCACTGCTTTCTGTCTGTGCATGCACTGTGCCACTTGAGGACACAGTCCCTGGGTACTGGTGGTTGTCCAACCACACTGTCAGCCTCACAGACAGTGAGCTATGGAGAAGCAGTCCTCCACATGTGGCTGGTGATCTAGACTGCTACCAGAACACAGCTCCTCACTGCCAGGGCTTCAGCCTGCCAGGAGCTTGGTGAGATTCAGGGGAGGGACAAAGAAGAGGGTCCTCACCCTTGAGGAGTTCAAGGTCTTGAAGGCAGGTGTGTAGATTTATGGAGGGAAGCTACTCAATGTGAAAGAACATAGACGATAACAAGTGGGGTGAGATGTTTGGGTCTTGGAGGGGAGGATTTACCTGGTGGCTGCAGGAGCCTTCTGGGGAGGTGGCAGCAGAACTGGGTCCTGGTGACAAGAAGGATCCTGCTCTGTGACACCTGCATTGAGCCCTCCTGCATCTGTGGTGGCTCCTGCTGCTCAGGGTCAGACCAGCTGCTCTGGCTTGTGGCGCATTAAGCAGAGCTTCTGATCCCTCCCTGGGGTGCAGCCAGCCCATCTCCTCCTCACCTGCCTTCCTGCATTGTCCCTGATGCTGAAGTCGCAGCAGCACGAGGCCTGCAGATATGAGGGAGAAGGCCACAAAAACCCAAGCCAGGATCTGCAGGTTTCTTTCCAGACCTCGGTCACGAGTGATGTCTACATTAGGAAGAGAGTTGCTTCAGTGATGATCCTGCCCTCATGGGGGTTGCATTCATCACCTCCAAATTTCTCAGTCCTGTGATAGGGCCTTTCTCTCCCTACCCAGACAGGCTACTGATAAGAAAATCCAGAACCAGGGAAGGACGTTCCTGCCCACGTCTTGTCCATACCTGCACTTGAAGTTCTGTTCTCTGGACACCAGCTGGGCTGACTCTGGAATGAAGGCTGAGATGGGCTGATAGCCTCCAGGCAGCCTGGACTCAGGACACTGGGAACAGAGCCCGGGACTCCCATGCTGGGGATCTGGGCACTGAGGCTGGAGGTGGGGTCCCCAGAAGGTCCTGTGGATGAGACTTCTTGGCTATCAGTGCTGGGAACTGGTGATCCTGGGAATAGAGACAGGATAAGTTGAAGGCCAGGTTGGTCCTGGGCACTGTCCATGGCTGGCTGTGCAAAATCATTCCCAACATCTCCCAACAATGCCTCTGCCCACAGAGCACTTGCTAAATTCAAATCAAGGGCATTGTCAGGCACTCTTTGAAGAAAGCTGTGACTTTAAAGGAAGAATCCTTCCCTAGCTGGAATCCCTGGGTCCTGATCCCTCCAACTGGGAAACAATGTCCCTAGGTTTAAGGCCATGTGTGACTCTTTGAGCTGAGAGAGGTCAGAGACAGGGTCTTCCCACCTGAGACTAAGAGCTCCACGACATCACTGGGTGTGGACCACACCTGGGGACTTTTCCTGTTAGATCCATAGCATCTGAACTTCCAGCTGTGCCCAGGAAACACGGGGCCCACATGGAACTTGGCCTGGAATGGTCTGTTAGGAATTCGTCTTGACACCAATGTCCAGGAGAGCTCATCTTTTCCTTCTTTAGTCAGAATGAATCTGTCTAATCCCCTCTGTGGGCCACACTGGAGGATTACATTCTCTCCTGACATCACCACAGGGTGAGGCAGGGCTGAGAGGCTGGGTTTGCTGTAGACTCCTAGGAGAGAAGAAGGCAGCCTATGAAGTGGACTCCCAGATCCCTCACTGTCCCCAGGGCTGGACTGAGAGTGGGAGACACCCCTGAGAGCAGGTATCTTCTTTAGGACATAGACTAGGGCTGGGGTTGACTGTCTTCTCACCTGTTACCACAAGTTCCAGGACATCACTGGGTTCTGACCAGCCAGCAGGGATGTGATAGGTACAGCGATATTGTCCTACATCATCTTCTCTCATGGATCGGATGAAGAACTTGACCCTGTCACTGAGTAAGATTGATACTTCCAAGGTCCTCGCTCTTCCATCTCTGTACAGATGGTACTTCTGGGCTCCCAGTGTCCCCTGACACCAGATGCTCACAGACCTTCCCCATGGGATCACAGAGCCAGGTTCAGCCCAGAGTGTGGGTTTTGGGAAGGAACCTGTAGGGAATTCCAAGGCTGAGCCCAGAAACTGTTAAATCCCCTATGTCAACCCAAGGCCTCTCCAGTGTCTCTCCCTCAGCCCAAGCCTTTGTGTCCCAGCTGATATTGAGTGGCTGAGAATGGAGCAGGACACAGGGTGCTGGAATGGACTCACCTGTAGGTCCTTGCAGCCCCATTTGCAGACTCAGTCCTGGAAGAGAGTTTTCTGTGCTGTCAGAGGCCCCATCTGATGCCTCAGTTGATGCCCCCTCTCCACCCCAGCCTGGTCCCCCCCTGCTCCCAGCACTGACCTAGGCAGAGCAGAGTAGGTGCCGTAGGTATCATGTTGTCTGCTCTGACTGCTCCAGCTCTGACAGAGAAGACCTCAGCGCTGCTGGACTCACAGATGAGCGGAAGTGGAAAGTCAGAGCTGCCTCCGCCCCTGCTCCCCACCTCTGTGGACCCACCCAAAGAGGACAGACAGCTTCGCCCTGTCACAGACTCTGGATTTCACAGCTCAGGATCCAAAGCTCCATGGAGAAATGTCAGACCACATCTGAGCTCTCCCTAGGATCTACATCTTCCCACAAGGGGAGAACCCCAGTCATTAAAGGAAGGACCCAGGCTCTGACCTTGATGGCTGCAGAAGCCAGACTCCAAGCAGACACTCATCTTCAGAGAGTGTCACTCCTGGGCCTTTGCAAATGTTTACTTAGGAGACTTTTCATAGTTTTCTCAGACTCTAGAAACAGCGTCTGGTTTAGGGGTGTATGTCGCCTGCATTCTGACCAGGAGATGCTCCATGGAGACCCAGCATCTGATTGCTTGTCCTGTGGGAACAGGAGGAGGAACAGACATCTGCCCCATCAGGGTTTCCTCCTTCTACCTTGACTGTCTCTAGTGTTTTGCTGTAGTAACAACCCATGGACTGAGCCAGCAGCAGAAATAACCATGCACTCCCTGTTGTGCTGATTCCCATCTCCATTTTATGGTTTTTCCTTCCAGGGACCTGAAGGAGGACACCCACCACCTCCCCCAGAGCATCTCACTGCAGCTCTTCACACACTGTGTGGAGGACTGAGAGCTCTGCTGGCTTCACTGCCCTGGCCTGGGCTGTATTTGAAGTGAGCATGGCCCCTAGTGAGTAGGCGGGGGCAGGCCAAGCCCCATGTGGAGGGCTTTCCTCTCCTCCTCGTGTGTGCTTTACCATCAGAAAGTTCACCTGTGTTGCATGAGAGACGTATCCACCTGCTACTCCCTGATGTGCTCCCTGCAGAGCTGAGGGCTTGGGTGGTGCCAGGGGCTCTACCTAGCCAGGAGCCTGTGTTGGACTAAGGAGAAAGTGAAAGGCTCCAGGGCTTCCCCGAGGCTTGGATCACAACATTCTCCAAGTCATAGGGCCTGAGATTAGTGATCATGCCCTTGCCCTAGGTGAAGAAGGTGCTGTGAGAGGTTCAATTGCTGAGAGAGTGTAGAGCAGCGGAGCTTTTCCTGAGCTGTCCCAGGCAAGGACGCTGCTCTCAATGTAGAGTCCTTGCTTCCTGAGGGGACACTGGCTCAAACTTACTGAAGCTCATGACTGTGAGACCTTGTGTGGGAGGAAGGGGAGCATGGTGACTACTCCTGTGACATGAGGCTCAAGGTCCTCACATCAGGAAATGCAGGGACACAGCTGGCTCAGGTTCCCTGTGTTTCGTCTGGGGTCTCCCCATGGTCCAGAGTTCCCAAAGGGACCTAGCAGTCATGTTCTGCTGCACAGAGCAGTGTGAGCAGAGGCCAGGGAAGCAGGAGGGGAACCTGAAGTGGGAGCAGCATCACGGGGTGGTGGATCAGGGACAGCCCCAGTCACACGGACGATGGGCTCCCTAGGGAGTGGCTATGGAACAGTCCCAAGACACGAATTTGGAAAAGGGGAGAAGAGCAAGGAGAATACAGCCAAGGGTGTGGGGTTCAAGTTCATCACGGATTCTGGAGAGAGCTTAGAGCATCAGAAGGCTGATGGAAACGGAGACAGAGAGTGTTATGCTCCGGAGGCTTCACATGGACGCAAGAACTGTCCCAGGGTATGGATTATAGAAAAATTTTTAAATAATTTTGGGAGGTGTGTGCTTTTGCCAAGTTAAAATTTAAGCAGCTCAGGCCAGGGAGATAGCTCAGTAGAATAAGCTCTTGCCTGGCAAGTACAAGGGCCTGAGTTCAATCCCCAGTTCTGAACAAAACAAAACAAAACAAAACAAAACAAAACAAAAAAACAGCTCATGTCTCCCAAAAAATTTAAAATAATCCATAAATACTAAAAGAAAAAAATCCTATGTGATCAGAAGAATATTTTAGGAAACCCAGGGAAAATAACCAACAGAGAACATGGAAATGGCCTGTAAAGGGAGTTGCCCACTCAAATCGGTTTCAGCATTGTGTGTAGGACAGGTGGTCATTGCCTGCGGGGAGGAAGCTAACATTAGCAGAACTGCTACCAGTGGAAAATTTGTTTGGCACATTTCCCCACACAGAACAGTTCTCAACCACACCTGATTATACGATGGAAATGTTGAGCACAAAGTCTAAAGGTGTTTTAAGGTCCGCTTTGTTACTTGTTCTCAATCACTCTTGAAAAAGAAACCCCAAAATCTGTAACTCTAAAAGGTGGGTTGTATTGTACTGCAAAGCTATGAGTATTTGTTGCTGGCACAGCTTCCTCTTAGCACCAGGTGAGCTGAACCTGGCTCCGCTGCATCCAGCCTCTGGGAGAGAAAGGCTATGGCCATCTGTTCACGCCCCGCTACCCTGTACTGCTGCAGCGCACAGCAGGCCCACCGTGTCTGTAGACTCCTCTCAGCCCACTGAGCAGTGTGGGCCCTTCAGGCAGCATCCAAAGCCAGGAGAGGCAGAGTCACCCATTACTGCCCCAGGGAGATGGACAATGACAGGGTCATGTTAGAGGGACCTGGAGTTCAGTCAGTCTTCCTGTGGGGGTTGGGTATCAGCACCATTCCCCAGGCCTGTATTACTGAACCCTTCTGTGGAGAGATCTTCAGAGCTCACCTGGCTCAGAGAGGTCAATGAGAATCACTTGGCCTCAGCACTGGTGTTCCAGGCATTAGAGGCCAGGGAGATCCGGTACAAACCAGTGTGTGCTGCAGAAAGTGCAGGGTCCACAGACCTGCTTACTGAGGCTGAGACAGGAAGGTGCTGGTGGGAAACTGCATGTGCACACTGGGTACACAGGGCAGCAGGGGCCTTGCTCTTGGTCTCTCGTCTTTGTCACCACCTGTAGGTCTGACTGCAGGCTCCTGAGAGGAGGAAGGTGAGGGACCAGAGCTCAAGACTGCAACCAGGGAGGCAGGACCTGCAGGTGTGTGTGGTCTGACAGCTCAGGGTGTTGATTGGCTTTGGGAGCTAGTGTCCCACCCACCATTTGGTCTTCTGCAGGCTGTGGGATCAAATACAGAACAACTCTCTGTGAGACTGTTCTTTAAAAATCCACTGTGGAACTTCTCAGAGGACGAAATTAATGAAGCAAATAAATATATGAAAAAAATGCTCCACATTACTAGCCATGCATGAAATGCAAATTCAAACAACACTGAGATACCATCTCACCCCACAAAGAATGGCTATCATAAACAAATCAGCCAACAACAATTGTTGGATAGGCTGTGGGAAAAAGGGAACCCTTCTCCACTGCTGGGGGAGTGTAGACTGGTGCAACCATTATGGAAATCAGTGTGGAGACTCCTTAAAAACTAGGACTGGAAATCCCATTCAAGCCAGCTATCCCACTACTGGGAATTTTCCTGGAGTAACTGAAAATTTCATATCATAGTGATATATGTGTACCTATGTTTATAGAAGCATGATTTGTGAAAGCCAAATCTTGGAAACAACCAAGATGCCCATCACCTGAGGAATGGTTGAAAAAGATGCAGTATTTTTATACAATAGAGTATTATTCAGCTATAAAGAATGGTAAACTCAAGACCTTTATATTGATGTGGATGCCACTTGAAGATATACTCATAAGTGAAATAAACCAGACACACATGCGTAATTATTGTATAGTCTCCCTACTATAAGAACTCAAAAGAAGAAATACAAATATAAAGGTATAACACAATTAAAAGGAAAGCAAGATCTTGAACATTGTACAATGAGGAGAGGGCAAGGAGAAAAGCTAGGAAACATGACAGGGGAAAAGCCGTACGTGTATATGCACAAGACGGGTAAGGCAATGTTTCTGAGAAACATCGCAGGTTTTTGAAGCTAGCAGTTAATTGATAGGATTCTCACCCTGACTAACTATACATGCTAATACCTGTGAACCAAGCAACTGCACTGAAGATAGCAATGTGTAATAGAAGGGTCACGCTTGGAATACGTGTCATTCTGGTCTTCTAAATA